TAAATAAAATTGTATTTAAAAATTTATTTAAAAAATATTTTTAAATTAATTTCTTATAAATTTAATAAACTTAACAATTTCATTGATAATCATCAGTACCCTGCCTTTTAACTTTTTATTTATTTTTTTTAGAAAAGAAGCAGTTATTCTGAATAGAAAACAAAATTACTGAATTTTTTTGGGGCAGTATAAAATACAAATTAAATCAATTTTTTTTCTTCAAAAAATTGGAACGGAAATAAATTCGTTCCTGGTCGTATGCGCTTAGAGAGGGTGGATAATTTGCGTGGCACGTTTGTCAAGGAAGGGTTATGGTCACCATGGCTGCGATAAGAACAAGCTCATGAGAGAAGACACGTTACGTAAACAAATAGCTTGTTGACTTCAATTAACGTATATTTTCTCTGGACCTGGCAAATATGCTGTATTGGGTGAATTTATATTTTATATCGGTGGGTCATCGGATATTGGATTTATTAGAATTATTATAATTTTAATTTGCGTTCTTAAATCACAAGTTAAATAAATTTTATTTCAAAAAATAAAATTTTTTAATAACTTTATTTGATAAAAAATTTATGTTTATTATTTATATATTATTCAAAATATCGCTTCAAGTTACAAGTAAAATTAATTTTCTTATTGATTAAGGATGTCAAGTGGCTCTCATGGATCGGAGAGTCTTTTATCATTTTTATTTTTGCAAATGACGGGGACGGAGATCTTATAAGGATTTTTAATGAAAGTTAGATTTTACCCCATCCCCATTCCCCATAGGGATGCTCGTTCACAGTGAATTAATGTCAAAATATAAGTTTTTTTTTATAAATAATTAAGTAAATTAAATTATAATAAATAAAATTTTAAAAATTCAAGTATAATTAACTAAAATTCTTTAATATAAAATCAAATATAAATTATCAAAACATAAATAATTAAAAAGTTAATGATGAGCTAGATTGAGATAAAATTGAGTTAAGTTTAATTTTTATTAAATTGAGTTTGAATTTCAATATTAAGTTATTAAAATAAAATTAATTTATATATTGTTTTAATTTTTTGCAAGGACATAGATTCCCGCAAGGCTTCATGTGATAAAAAAAATTCTCCACAAAATTTCACGAGAGGGGAATGAAAGAAATTGCGTCCCATTCCTGTCCAGCAAAAAAAAAAAATTTCTTTCCGTCCCGTCCCGTCCCCATAACCAAGATCCTTGCAAGATCAGAAAAAATTGCCATCTCTATTCTTGACCATGCATGCAGAGTTTGTTGTTGAAATTAATTATATTGAAAGAAAATAGGGACGGAGAGTAATTACAACTGTCTTAAAAAATAAGTATAGAGAACAAATGAACAATTAATAAAAACTTGGTTGAATCGGAGATTTAAACCAAGACGATATGCGCTTGGGAACGCCAGAAGCTAGACTAGTCTCACATACCATCTATTATCCTCGCGTCATAATTTCAAGGCGTGTAAATATGGAAAAAGAATTGCATAGACTCCTCTCTCGCAACCTTATCAATACCCTGTTGAACATTGAATAGTTTCACCATTTGACTAATTTCTACAATAGATATTGATGGTTATTCCATTGTCCCAGCGAACGGGTCAAAGGTAACCCGGTATTTTAACAAGTCAAACCCATACATTAAGCATCGGAATTGGATAGGATTTATTGGAACTTTTGAAGCAGTTTCTAATGATCTTTAGACACGTTGGATGACCATAATGCATCACAAGCATTCGCTTTATATACAATTTGCAGAGAACTGAATGTTTCACGAATTCCGCAAAATTTTTAACTCACAATATTGCTCCGCGACATTTTCAATTTGTCAGGGAGATGCATAAACTGAAGATTGCTTTGTTTCCTTAGCAAATAACGTTACAAAAGAATAGCCAAATTAATAAAGTAAAATATCTGCCTCAACATTTGCTCTTGCACAAAAATGCCAAAATAAAATAAAATAAAAATCAGAGCACTAAGCTAGAAGCAAGGTACACAGAGAATCTATTCTAGCTTCACGCGGTCCATATCGTTTATCACACCCTCAAGCTGTAACAAACGGACAGCAAAAGCATTCATGAATAAAGCAACCATCTATGAGCTTGACAAGCATGCACATAAAAACAAAAGGAAAAGATGAGCAAACCTTGACAATCTGCCACAAGAAGTAGTCACCATATTGCTTCACTGGCTTTGATTCAACAATATGAATCATTTCCTGCAAGAAGGCCCAGCATGACTTATATGGCCAAATATTGGCAGTTCTCTCAAAAGAACTACCGAGTAAAAATATAAGACTCATCTACATTAGCTAGCATGAAACAAACCCAGCTATTGTTTTCAAGATATAAAATCCATCGACATTTTCCATGTGGGGATGTCTACAAGCTCAAAAGAAGCTTCAATAGGAATATGATTTCCAAAGATAACTTCCCTTGTTTGCCCATTATAATGATTTTGGGATCTGGGGACCTTCACCACTGATGGGACATGAAAGATAAGAACACTAATAAAGAACCAAGTGTCCAATGACATATCTATCATCACGCACTTCAAACATTTTCTAAGATTCCCATCTAGGACATAAAAAACATTTACCCAGACAAGACAACAAAATCATATATAATTGCATAAAATAAGAATTTAACGTACATCATAGATGTAGAAATCAACATCTGCATTAGAGATAATCCTTCCATCAGAATCAACAGCATGAGTCTTGTGCTTGTATGTCAACAAGATGGTCCTATAAAACATACATGCAGCAGAGAGTTCAGTACTACATATTCAATAATTTTTACTAAATAAAATAAAAGATGAGATGCATACCTCAAAGTGGGCTCATCGACTTCCATGTAACTTGCAAGCTTCCCAAGAGATATGGTTGAATACACTTTGAGAAATGTTCGGACACCTGACAACAATTGCTGCTGCTTTACTTCATAAAGAAATAGCTTCAACTGAAGTCTGTACGCATCCTGCATGGTATTTGGAGTTGGTTCAGGTTCACACATTCAAACAAAACCAAGGGCATGAGTCAAACATTCACCCTGAGCATTCCAAATCGTTAAGAACATGCCCGATGACCTTTTTCGCCCCCTTGTTAAGCTCAAGACTCATGCTGATCTATCCCTACCCTTTTACCACATAGGGTGAATCCTAGGATAGTAAGTTGATTTGTACTATAAATAGAAGATATTAATGAACTTCTATGAAATGGTTTTATCCATCCATATAAGAGACAATACTTGTCAAAATAGGTAAAGAATAATAGTAGGAGCCTATCAAAAGAACACAAACAAAGTAATTTTATGTGCATTAACCCAAAACATTCCAAGATCCCTATATGTAAAACTATTTACCTGGTTGTAATTTACAAAAGGCTCCTCAAAACTTGGAGCTGATGGGGTAATGAACTTGGGGCAAGCATAAGAGAAGAGCTCATCATAAATTGCAAATGCCTCATCATCATATCTTTGCATCCTGCTCATCTTTTCACCGTACTTCTTTTCACCGTACTTCTCCTGTAACTGAGAGTTCACTGTCTCATCAACAAGCTTCACTTGGGGACAAAGTGAAAGACAAATTGCTAATAAGGCATACATCTGCTCATTCTTTTTCAGTATCTGCTCATACTGTGGAGATTTCTGATGATATTGCTTTGTCTTGTAAATATATAAGAGAATCTTATTGAATTCACGGATAGCCTCCACATACCTTCAATAAAAGCAAGTATTAATGATAGAGCTTAAATAAGTTAACATAAACAGAGTAACTCGAATTGAATTATATTTTAGTAGTGGCAGAAAAAATTTAAATCAAGAGATTATTTTTGAAATTTGATGCATGATCTTGTTTTTAAATATTGCAAGATAACAGAAGGCCTCAGAGTGAAACCAAACAAATTGCATGGATATAAAGGTTGAGAGAATTTTGTAATTGACCAAATCTTCTTGCATGTTTGGCCCCAATAATCACAAATCTCTTAAAAATCTGCATCCATCCATGGAATGTTTTTTAAAAAAAAGAAGCCAATATCTCTCAAGAAAATTGATGCCTTGTTCTTTGACCCAGCCAGCCATGTATATGAAAGTTTAAACCACAAACCAGATATTTCAATATCTTAATAGTTTGGGAAATTTTCTGATATTATGAAACAAATTAGTACTAAAATTACCTTCAAGGTGAATAATTAACATCATTATTTATGGAAAAGGTCCTTAAACAGTAAAGGAAAAAAAAAGGATAGCTATGATGCCTACCATACCTCCGCAACATAAGGTTTGCAAACCCATAGTGATAGATGGTTGCAATGTGGCTCCCAATAACACTGGTGAAAACACCTTGTTGGCTGATGTCAATTGGAAATAAGCACTTCAGGCCAGTTTGGTAGTCACCCAAGAGACAATGAACTCGCAGCAGACCCACCATACTGAAATATCCCAACACCTTCAAGACATTGCTCCCACCATTGTAATCATAACCATCAGTAGCAGTGAATTGCTCAAGGCCTTCCTTCTCCTGCTCCAAAATCTGAATGATATTTGACTTCTCCACAAGAGCTTGCAAGAAGTTGAGCACCCCATACACATTCCATGCCTGTAATAGAACAATAACTTCAACCCCAACAACATCAAACTCAAGAGTTCATCTTTCATCCATGTGGCAGATTCTCAAACAATGACAATCCCATTAAAGCATTATATAGCTTAAAAGAGGTGTTTTCCTCACATCAACTGGAATTATCAACTGCAACTCAAATTTCTATAAATTCCACTAGAATACATCAAAGAAATGGTAGAAGATAAAAAACTAAAGACCACAGTAGGTGTATATACCTGATCATACTGCCTAAGAAGGGCAATTTCCTGCTCGGTCTTGTTCTTCATTTTAGCCCTGTACTGACAGAAACTCTGAAACTGGTAAAGAAACTCATCCACCATGTCCCACAACCACTGGTTTGGCAATTGCATGTTCACCACCCCATGCAGGACCACCTAAACAAAACGAAAGAAAACAGACAGATTGCAATATTGAACGCACGTATAATTGAAAATTTGAAAACAAAGAAATAAACAAAAAGCTACCTGAAAGAGGCTGCAATAATTGTCCCATGAATCGATCCTTTGCTTGGGTGTGGGGGAGAGGCGGGCGTAAAGGTGGCGGAACCACATCTCGCGGTAGAGGAGGCAGAATACGTGGTCATTGTCAACGTAGGGAGCAACAGCTTCAACGGAGGGCCAGGGTGTATCCTTGAAGAGACGGTCGGAGAGAGTCTGGAAAGAATTCTCGTACATCTGGTGGATCTCGTACACATTCTTCTCCCGAATGTGACGGTAGAGGTGCACCAAGAACGACTTCACGGAGTCGGGTACAAAGTTCGGGTCGTAGCCGAGGTCCTGCCGGCTAGGGTCCTCGTGCCCCGCCGGAGCATCTTCATAATCGTAATTGCTTGCCATAGTTAATTGAGGTGCCAAAGAGAGGACGAGGAATTGCGGATTCAGACAAGGCCGATGCAGTATTAGCAGCTAAAACGAAGAGCTTTGAAGGGACGAAGGCTAAAGTGACAGCTGAGTGAGAGACAAGGGTTAACGGTCTAGTGAAGAAGGAAGAGAAAGAGATGCACTTGGGCTATGCCACAATGGATTTGCTTGCGATGCCCAATAAGGAGAAATGTGAATAGGCCACCAAATTTTTTATTTTTAGGGCCCAATATTTAACACTCACTTTGGATGCAATAGCAATTTTTAGAATCCCTTTTTTGCAATCCAGAAATGCACCTGATACAGCAAAATTTCTGAGCTTCGCAATTCTTAAAGATTTGCCACCACATGGAACTCAAAAATCGTAACAGGTAGGTTATCATCATTGAAGAATTTTTTTGATTACCAACATGTCAACTACAGGAGTCTCCGAAGCACACTGAATACAAATGAAAGGTCACTGTGGTTAGTTTTTCACAAGCTATGCATGACTATCACCTAACTAGAGAAAAATGCTAACAGGCAACAAAATCCACATATGGTATCACCATTACTACTGTTCATGAATTTATCAGTGGAATGCCTTGGTTTGCTTTGTAACCAAAATATGAATCCATCCTTCACTATTCTTGAGCCACAGATGATTTTTACATGTGTCATTCAGATTGTCAGTCTAATATCAGAGCCTTTGCCTGTTAGAAGATGAATGGGATATATGAGGCACTTCCTGATAACTGTCAGGTTCATCTTCTTCATCAGAGGATAATAGGGATGATCCCATCCATGATTTAAAGCCGTCATTAACACGCCTTTCTACTTCTGGTGTGAATTCTAATGGATTTGCTTCCAACATCTCTAGACCAAGATTTCGACTGCCAAACTCTCCTTCATCAAGAATTAAGGCTGCTCTTCTTCTCAGGAAAAATGCAGTTCCTGCATAGAGAATGACCAGTCCCCATGAGGCAATCTCGTAGCACCAAAACAGGGGCAGGGAGCAGCTGCTACCTAATGTGAGGAGGCTTGAACCGAGGAACAAAGCAAGAAGACCGAAGACAATTGCAAAAACAACATTCAAAATGGATAGGCAACGAACTCCACCTATAGAGTACAACAAGAAAGTTCAGAGATACAAGACAGTAGTCCCAAGCATATGATTGCAACTGTCATTCTTATCTATAGAATCAGCATGTGCTACAATGAAACAGTAACACCATATTGGCTATAAAACAGAAGTCCTACTTTCTTTTGATTTTCAATGAAAAAAGTTACACGCAAGCACTGTCCCAAACAACAGGAAGAAGAAATATGTTATGTGTTTTGCTGCCATGAACCATGAAGAGTGCTTACAGCTTTCAGTGGCTTTTACCACCTTTAATTTTAAAAGCCCAAATCCAGGAATGCAACTGATGTTAAGTTTAAAAAGTACAAGAAAGAAAAAGAAGACATTAAGCCATTTACTTTGAAGTAGTTCCTATTCATATTACTTCCTCCTGTTTTTCATGAAACCTAAATGACACCATCCATCTCTTAATGAGACTTCCTATTCCAACTAAAAATATACTTCAGATTGCTAGAATATAAACAGTATGAAAAAATTTAATAGGGAAACATAACAAAGCCAATAGCAGCCAAGAATTTAATAGAAAATCTTTTGGAAATAAAGATTACCTCTTTTTGAAGCACAGTAATTATTTTCAACCACCTTTAAACATCCATGCCTATTTGGAGCAGAATAAGCAACAAGAACCCCTAAATCACAGCAAAAATCATAAGAATTTTAAAAAGGGGTACAACAAGAAAGGAAAGCAAGTTCTTAGCAAGATATCAGACATATATGTCATCAAGATTAACATAAAATCTCAGAAGTTAAGACTAACACTAGAAGAAAATTCAAAAACTCACATAACTAAACTAATTAGCACAAACACTTGAGCCAGAAAAATAACCAGCACATAAAACTTATCAAAGAGAGTAAAAACATGCACAGAGTAAAACCTAAAAAGGTACATGCTGTTTTCAAGACGGAATACAGGTTAGGAGAATTTATACAGAACAATCAATGAAGCTACCCATATGGGAATAAATCTTGAAAGTTTCTGTCTTCTTTGATGCAGCTAGCCTTATGAATGAGATTATTCTGATACCATTATTGACCATTCAAAGTCTATATTGTCAATTTCTATCAACAAGTTATTCTAAACTGTGTAACTCTCGTAGGAGGAGGTCTCAAGTTCTTAGCATTTTGGCGATGATGCTCCTTGTCCAGCAATAAAATCTAAAAATCAGAAACTACAAGAACATAGAAGATAGTCTATTTAAAAAAGATACAAGTTCTTTACCCGCCACAAGATAAACAACCGAGGCCAAGAAAATGATGGTGGAGGGAACGAACAAAACCATCCAGTAGAAATCCACAGTCTCTTGATCGGTCAAATAGAACGCCCCAGGAAACGGATCTGAATCTCCACCGCCTTTCACGTTCATCGGCAGAGGCTGCAACTTCAGGTCACCACAGAACGGTCTCTTCAAAACATCGCTAGGGAAAACAATCCTCAAGCTCACAACCGTGCACACAATGATAGCGAGGCAAATAACCCCCACACAAGCTATCAACAATGGTCTTTGTAGCTTCACCCACGCTTTGTCTTCCTCTCGCAGACTCTCATACTCGTGCTTTGGCATGAAAGCCTGCCGCAACGCGTCGCCGATTATCGCCATTGAAGGAGGATCAAACCACTATTCACAAAACCGCTAGCTCAATAGGAACCGGAATAGGGATTGAGCTAAGGTTTCTCTCGGATCTTAAAACTCTTAGAAATGTTTCAGTCTAGGGTTTTCATGAACCCTGATAGCTTACCTTGACACAGAATTGTGCCTAGTTTCACTGATCTAGGGTTTCAATTTGACGTTTTAGCTAAGGATAAAAGCAGAAGAAGGGGAAAGGAACCTCACCTATGGCGGTGTATTGTTGCTTTCAGTTCGGTGCAACAGAACTTTATCACAAATTTTCTGGGATTTGGCGGGGGTTCTTGTGGAGCGGCGCGTGGGTACAGCTCTTAGCTGCTCAACTTGATATTTCAGAACAGTAGTTTTTTTTTTTTTTTAATTTTTAAGGAATAATGATAAAATAAATATATTTTTTATAATTAATTATTTAATACAAATTAGATAAATCTATCTTTTAATTATTTAATACTTTTTTTTTCTTTGCAGTAGTAATTGTATATTTTTATAATTATTACACCATAAATAAAGAATAACATCATAAAAAATAAAAATCTGTACAAAATTGCCATACATAGTAGTAGGATAATGATAAAAGAAAATTTTGGCATCACAATTTTGGACAATCACTTACCCATATGTTATATTATTTAAATATTAAAAAATATTTAATATTTTTTTTTGTTTATTTTTAATCTATTTATTTTAATTTTTAATTTTTAACTATAGATTTAATTAAAAATTTAAAATATTATATAAATAATAATTAAACTTTGTTTTTTTATATGAAGTTTTTATTTAGAATTTTTATTTGACTAAAAAAATATTTTAATTATTATTTATATAATATTTTAAATTTTTATTTAAAATTTATATTTAAAAATTAAAAAATTTAATTTAATTTAATAAAAATTAGCAAAGCGAGTAATATTTAATAGTAATTGATTTTTTTTTTATTTTATTAAAATTTATTTTATTATATGTATCAGTTCATTTAATAACATAACTTATACTACATCATTAATCCAAAATTTTCATCCCTCATATCATTATTTTTTAATTATAATTTTTCTTCTAATCAAATTTAATTGTTCCACTTTATTCATTCACCATTATGATAAATTTATTTATTATAATAATTAAAACTATCTTTTCATTTTTACCCTTACTTATAATTAAATAAAAATATCCTAAGACATTTTTATCTCATTTGAAGTAAAAATAAAATTAAAATATTAACATGTATTATTAAAATAAAAAATAAAACAATTAAATTAAAACAACTCTATTTAAAAGGTAAAACAACTAAATTCAATCGATGTATGAGATTATTGTTTTGCAATCTGCACTACAGCTTATTTTATAACTATTATAGAAAAGAAATCATTCAAATAATATTTTTTTTATCAATAATTATAAGATGTATGTATATACACACATATTATAGGGATATAAGCATTATCATTGTTATTCTCCAGCCTACTACAAAATAAAGTTACTACAGTAAAAAAAAGTTAGTTACCACA